GCAGAGTAATAGAAATCCAACAGACCCAACAGTCATGACATGCATGCTGCTGATTCTGTGTAATTGAATCACTCATTGAAAGGGGCATGTTCAAAATAATAGCAGTGTGGAGTTCTATTAGTGAGGTCATTCATTCTTTGAAAAACAGGTGGCAATTATTGCCCTTATTTAAGGAAGGAAGGCAGCAAATGTTGTACATGCCGGTTACAGTGCATTTCTCTCTGAAATTCTGAGGAAAATGGGTCGTTACAATTTGCCAAAGAGCACATTGACTGGCCTAAAGAGAAATGGCCCAACATTTTGTGGACTGATGAAAGTAAGATTGTTCTTTTTGGGTCTAGTGGGCGGAGACAGTTTGTCAGACGACCCCCAAACACTGAATTCAAGCCACAGTACACTGTGAAGACAGTGAAGCATGGTGGTGCAAGCATCATGATATGGGGATGTTTCTCATACTACGGTGTTGGGCCTATTTATCGCATACCAGGGATCATGGATCAGTTTGAATACATCCGAATACTTGAAGAGGTCATGCTGCCTTATGCTGAAGAGGAAATGCCCTTGAAATGGGTGTTCCAACAAGACAACGACCCCAAACACACCAGTAAACGTGCAACATCTTGGTTCCAGACCAACAAGATGGACGTTATGGAGTGGCCAGTCCAATCCCCGGATCTTAATCCAATAGAAAACTTGTGGGGTGACATCAAAAATGCAGTTTCTGAGGCAAAACCAAGAAATAGAGAAGAACTGTGGAATGTCGTCCAATCATCCTGGGCTGGAATACCTGATCACAGGTGCCAGAAGTTGGGTGACTCCATGCAACACAGATGTACAGCAGTTCTCAGAAACAGTGCGACTACAACCAAATATTCATGAAGTCATTCAAAGGAAAGCAAAATCTTCAAACATTTTTTCAGTTTATATAGTGAATGTTTGAGTTTGTAAAGAAGAATACAAACACTGCAATTTTTTTTAATCGTCTAATATTTACTTTTTTTCAATTTTTTTAGAGGAACAACACAAATTTGATCTATTTTTCTTCATGTTTTGATTTGGAATAGAATGTGTCGTGTTCCCAATGCATTTGTGTGGATGGAAATAAAAGCTACTAGAAGGATTTTGAGCTTTATTCACTTTTTTCAACACACTGCTATTATTTTGAACGCAACTGTATATATATATGCGTTATTTTTCATTTCTGGGTAGGGGGTATGCTGCCCTACCCACACTGCCTTTGGCAGCTACAGCTGTCGATCATTGGGTCCCGGCTGGAGATTCCCTGGCAATCGCCAAGGAACACTGACAGGGAAGAATTATGTACTGTATATAAACAATACAGATCTCTCTCCTGTCAGCACCAACATGCTTCTTTGTATTGCTCTGCATAGCAGAGCAATACAAAGCAGCATGCTTACATATTAAAACACACACAGCACACAATTAACCCTTTGAGCACCCCAAATGTTAACCCCTTCCTGCCCAGTGCCATTAGTACAGTGTCAGTGCTTTTTATTAGCACTGATCACTGTATTGGTGTCATTGGGGATGTCAGTGGCAGTTAGTCAGTTCCCCCCCAGTGTCAGAATGCCCGCTGCAGTCCCCCTATAAGTTGCTGATCACAGCCATTACTAGTATAGAATAAAAAATTCTGGTATATATTCCGCCATTTGTAAACCAATTAGTTTACACGTATTGGGATTTTTTTTTTAGCAAAGACATGTCGCAGAATAAATTTTGGCCGAAATTTAATTTTTTAAATTTTTTTTACTGGACATGTTTAATAGCAAAAAAGTCAAAAAGATTGATTTTTTTTTTAAATTGTCGGTCTTTTTTTGTTTATAGCACAAAAATCAAAAACGCACAGGCGATGAAATACCACTGAAAGAAAGCTCTATTCATGGGAAAAAAGGACACACACTTAATATGGGTGAAGTGTTGCATGACTGCGCAATTGGCAGTTAAAGAAACACAGCGCCACATCACAAACAACGGCCTGGTCAGGAAGGGGGGGAAATCCTCAGGAGGGCAAGGGGTAAATTCTGATCCTGCAGGACATTTGGGAGCAGGGACGGACTGACCATTTGAGCACTCAGGCACTGCCCGAGGGCCCGGGGTCAGTAGGGGGCCCCAGGAAATGCCCCTGGTACCTTTTTTTATAGGCTTTTTTGAGTGTGGGCAAGGACACAGGAGCCTCATGATCCCCTTTTGTTCGGGGGCCCCATGAGTTGTCAGTCCGCCCCTGTTTGGGAGTCGCTTAAAGTGAGACTGTTACTTTGTTGAACCTTCTAGAGCCATGTTTCTCAAGTAATGGGTCACAACCAGGGGCGGACTGGGCACCGGGGCAAGTGTCCTCCGGGCCTCTCTAATACCCCAATAAAACATCCACTGTCCTAAAATCATAGCTTAATAAAAAACCACTGGCCACACTAATATAAATGTTAGGATGGCCGGGACTGCAACTATGGCTGCCATACTATTTGTAGTATTGCAGCCAGCCGATCCCATCAAGATGGTGCTACGGCTCCGGCACTCCTTCCTCCGCGGCAGTGATGGGAGGAAGTGACATATAACTACTATTCCTTCCAGCCAGCCATGCAGGAGGGAAGAAAAGCACCACTGGACGCCAGGGAATGACTCCGCTAGGTACTTCTCCTGGGTCGTGAATGGGTGATGCACAGCACATTCTGAAGAGAGTGGAAGAAAACAGTCTTTTTTCTATCTATTATATTCTATTCTAGTTGATTCCATTCCTTTATTTCCTGTTCTATTTTGCTCTGTTTTACTCTATTATTTTCTACTCTTAGATTGTGAGCTCCAAGGAGTAAGGTCCTCCTAAACCTTTTGTATTGAACTGTATTGTTTCTGTATTGTCTCCCTTTATATTGTAAAGTGCTGAGCAGACTGTTGGCGCTATATAAATCCTGTATAATAATAATAATAATAATAATAATAAATCCTGTATAATAATTCTATTCTTTGATTTTCTATTCTAATCTTTTCTATTGTATTCTTTGATGTTCTTTTGTAATCCTTTCTCTTCTATTCTAAAGGATTCTATTATTTTCTATTCCTTTATTTTCTATTCTATTTTGTGCTATTTTACTCTCTTCTATTCTATTTTTATTTTCTCTTCTCTTCTATTCTTTTATAGTTCTTTATTTTCTGTTCTATTTTGTTCTATTCTGGTTTTCAAATTTGAATTGGTTTTCAATTTTTTTTTCGAATTTTAATTTGTTTTTGAATGTGTTTTTCAAATTCAAATTGATTTGAATTTCGTCCACATTTCGTTTCGTTATTTCAGATTCGTTTAAATTTGTTATTATTGTACTTTGAAATTCAGATACATCCGAATCTCAGAATAACGGAAAATTTGTTCCAATTTCAATTCGGAATGAAACAAACTGCACATGTCTAGAAAGGAAGGGGGCATGAAAGGGTTCCGCTAAAGGAGGGCTTGGAAGGGGAGATTGAAGGAGCGCATGAAATGGGGGGGGGGGGGGGGGGCAACTGAAAACTCTCACACAAATATTGCACAAACTATATTGTTTTTGTAATCCACTGAAGACATTAATCGCTTTCCCGCCGCCCTATTGCAGAAATACTGTTACAGGGTGGCACGGGTGCGCAACATCACGTATATATACTTGATTTTGCAGTTCCGGGTAGGGTCCACGTGCTTGCCATGTGCACACCCTACCCATGCTGCCATTCGTGGCCTCAGCTGTCAATCTCCGGGTCCTGGCCGGTAATTTCCAGCTGGCACCCAGCGATCTCCGAGAATTACCGACGGGGTAGAGACCTGTGTATAAACAACACAGATCTCTCCCCTGTCAGCTCCTGTACACTGCTTTGTATGACTCTGCATAGCACAGCCATACAAAGCTGTGTGCTTACAGTGTAAAGCACTCACACAGCACACAGTTAACCCTTTGATCGCCCCACATGTTAACCCCTTCCTTCCCAGTGCCATTAGTACAGTGTCAGTGTTTTTTTTTTTTTAGCAGAGCCATACAAAGCAGTGTGCTTCCAGTGTAAAGCACACACACAGCACACAGTTAACCCTTTGATCACACCACATGTTAACCCCTTCCTTCCCAGTGCAGCTGTCGATCATTGGGTCCCGGCTGGAGATTCCCTGGCAATCGCCAAGGAACACTGACAAGGAAGAATTATGTATATAAACAATACAGATCTCTCTCCTGTCAGCACCAACATGCTGCTTTGTATTGCTCTGCATAGCAGAGCAATACAAAGCAGCATGCTTACATATTAAAACACACACAGCACACAAATTAACCCTTTGAGCACCCCAGATGTTAACCCCTTCCTGCCCAGTGCCATATTAGTACAGTGTCAGTGCTTTTTATTAGCACTGATCACTGTATTGGTGTCATTGGGGATGTCAGTGACACCAAGTCAGTTCCCCCCCAGTGTCAGAATGCCCACCGCAGTCCCGCTATAAGTCGCTGATCGCCGCCATTATTAGTAAAAACAAAATGTAAAAAAAATTCCAGTATCTATACCGCCATTTGTAGACGCTATAACTTTCACATACACCCATTAATTTACACGTATTGGGATTTTTTTTAGTAAAGACATTTAGCAGAATACATTTTGGCCTAAAGTTATGACGAAATTTGATTTTTTTCCATTTTTTTACTGGACATGTTTAACATCCCTAGCGGTCTGACTATGTCAGTATTTCTGTGCTCAAAGCGGTACATTTTTTTGCATGGAAATTTGTATTTTTTTTATTGTAGGCCTGTAATTCTTAGGAATAACTCACTGAAATCTGTCTGAACAAGAGTCTAGTAAACATCCCGGGTATGATAAAATGTGAAACACAAAATCATAAATTATAATATAATAAAACATCATTAAAAAAAATCATAATATAATAATAAATGTAATTCAATAATATAATCAAATCAAAATCACTGAAATTTGAAATATAGCGCCAAGTTCACACATCACTGAGCAAAGTCGCAGAATCGTTTTCAGTGTCTGATGAGGAATTTCCCCCACGAATCATTATCACTCAATTCTGCAAGTGGTTCTAATTTACTATCGCTGTTCTCTAGCCGGTCTAAAACCGCTTTTGACCTAAAGGGACGCTTTTTGGACGCCATGGACGTTTCTCAGTTTCCAGGCAGAAAGAACAGTAAAAATGCAGGCAGGGTGCCAGACAAAGCACTCGGGACAAAATGTATGTGAAATGGTTTGATACAGGAATGTTATACTATGTGATTTTAGTGTATGGAGTGAGCACAGTGGCTAAATGGTTAGCACTTCCGCCTAGCAGTACTAGGGTGAATGGTTTGAATCCCAACCACTGCACCACCTGCCTGGAGTTTGCATGTTCTCCCTGTGCCTGTGTGGGTTTCCTCTGGGTACTCCAGTTTCCTCCCACACTCCAAAGACATGCTGGTAGGTGAATTGGCTTCTGTCTAAATTGGCCCAAGTATGTGTATGTATGAATGTGAGTTAGGGACCTTAGATTGTACACCCCTTGAGGGTTAGGGACTGATGTGAATGTACAATATATATGTAAAGTGCTGCGTAAATTGATGGCGCTATATAAGTACCTGAAATAAATAAATATAAAATTTTTACATTTTTATTATTCCCGCCAGTTCTGTCCCCCGTACGTCCCGACGCTCGGAGGGAATGGAACCCGGAAGACGGATGGCGGCATCGGCCAGAGGACATTGCCGGGGACGCTGCAGGAGGGACATCGCAAGAGCACAGGACAAGGTAAGTGAAGAACAGATCCCGGAGCAACGCTGCAGGGTATTCCCGAGTGTAGCTCGGGGTTACCGCTTGTGGTACTGAAACTTTACCCCGAGCTACACTCGGGAATACCGCCAGGGGGGTTAATAGCAAAAAGTCCAAAATATTGTTTTTTTTCTCAAAATTGTCGTTTTTTTTTTGTTTATAGCGTAAAAAACAAAAAACACACAGGCGATCAAAGACCACTGAAAGAAAGCTCAATTTGTGGGGGGAAAAAAGGACATAAATTTCATTTGGGTGCAGCGTTGCATGACTGCGCAATTGTAAATTAAAATAACGCAGCACCGTATAACAAAAAATGGCCTGGTCAGGAAGGGGGGGGGGGGGGGGGGTAAATCCTCTGGCAGACAAGTGATTAGTACATTGCTCAGCTTAATGGGCTATTAGTCTGAGGTAGAGACATTGCTTAAAGCTAGGGGGTATTGGTGGATTTTTGTTATTTTATGTATACTTAAAATAATTATTTATTTTAAAAGTCTGAAAAAATATTTTTTTATGTAAAATTATGTACATTGTAGAATACTGCACAAGTTGTTTTTTGGAATAAATTATAATGTTTCGGAAATTAAATTGGTTTTGGGTCGTGACTTAATGACCAAGCACAAATGTGGGTCCTGAGGTTCTGCAGGTTGAGGACCAGTGTTCTAGAGCACTCAACTCCTATTTAACCCCTTCACGCCTAAGGTAAAACAAATCTAAATGCCTAAGCACAATTTTGCAACGTTGACATGTGTTAAGAAAACTGTACATATCATCACAACTACTTTGTACATCGGGTGAATTATACCGCGTTTTTTTCAGGACAAATTGGGCTTTCATTTGGTGGTAAATGGTGATGGATATCTCCTGGATTTTATTTATTATCAAAGGAAAACTGGCCCAAAAAATAGTAAAAAAAAATATATATTTTTTTTACAGTCAGGTCCATAAATATTGGGACATGGACACAATTCTAACATTTGTGGCTGTATACACCACCACAATGGATTTGAAATGAAACGAACAAGATGTGCTTTAACTGCAGACTGTCAGCTTTAATTTGAAGGTATTTACATCCAAATTAGGTGAACGTTGTAGGAATTACAACAGTTTGCATATGTGCCTCCCACTTGTTAAGGGACCAAAAGTAATGGGACCTGACTGTAGCTGTGTGTTTCTTGTTACTACCATAACCTACCACCAAAGAACAACGCAAAATAAATTCTACAGCTCTTGACGATTGCAGCGATATGTGTATGTTATTTGTTCTTTGTACCCGTAGTCCAACCCAGAAACAATAGTGCGCATTTTATTTTTGTCTTTTTTACCTAAAACACACTGACACTGACATTGACACTAACTGACACTGATACCAATTTTTTTTTTAAATAATGACCTTTGATCCTGACCTTGACCCAAACACTAACCCTGGCACTGAACTATATCAAACCTTAATCTAGGTATTTGTTCTTTATTTTTTAATATTTATTTATCTTTTTTTTTTTACAAACTTTTTGTTTTCTCGCTATGCAAGGAGTTGGGGAGATACAATGTATCTCCCTTCTTCATTCATAGAGAGAGAAATAAACAAGGGGGCCGGGCTGTACAGTGACTGATCACTGCGATAGCCAATCAGAGGCTATCACAGCGATCATGTGACCTGGAATCGGCGCGCTCTCAGAACAAAGACAGGTACAGAAATATGCGGCCCCACGGAAAAAAAAGCCCAATTCCTTGAGGCCGCATATTTGTGTTACGTCGGCGTCAAGGGGTTAATGTTTATCTATTGGTACCTTTTTGTTGTGCTTGCCTTCTTATTATTCTGACCTCAATATAATCAGAATACTTTTTCACCCTAAACTGGGTGTGTTTTTGGTTCCAAGCAAGGGGGTCCTCCTGGTCAAAAGGTTTACAGTGGTGTCAGCAGGGGTTGAGCTTTCAAAGCAGGCTTAGGGACGAACAGACTGGGAACCCAAAAATATTCAGCGGCCCTTGAGGGGGTAGCGCTACACTCATATGAATTACAATTTTGAAAATATGGAACAGCAAAAAAGGTAAAATTCTACTTTCAATTATTGTGGTAATTAGGTTTCATGAGAGCTATTACAAGCCAACCGATAACATTTACCTTGCATACCTGACATTTTCCAATGATAGGTTTTAAAAGCAACATTTACACATCACAAATCTGCAATTACGGGATCAATAAAGCAATAAAAAAATGAAAAATCGGTCTAGCTTATGATAGTCCTGGCAGCGCTCCACCATCGGAGAGAGAAGGAGAATTATAGAGGGCAGATTGCCGATTATCTGGCCGTCCCCCCCCCTCCCCCATCACTGCTTTCCTCTGACTCTTATTAGAGCTGTTGTGATAGTCCCCTATCTTCTGCAGACTGACATTAGTTTCAGCCCATGGATTTTCCATCTCCCTCTATTTGCCGTGATATTAAATTCATATTAGTGACTTTCATAGCCGGTGGTGTGAATGGAGCCTCATCGTTTCGAGTGAGCCAGATTGCTCTTTCATACTGCTGCCATTGGATCTGTAAACAGCTATTAGGATCGAGCTGCTATTTGTGCCGCTTGGAGGTACTTTTTAGATAAGTTGGGATCATCAATCTTTTTTTTTTTTTTTTCTTTTTTTTCAAGCAGTTATTTTTATGTCTCTGTAGGTGCAAATATCTCAACAAAAAATGCACATTTAAAAAGTGATGCACTTTCCATTCATTGTATGTGCTTATAGTACAAAGGAAGCATTAAGGTTAGGTTCATATCTATACAGGTTGTGGGTGATGTGTTTTTCTGGACCATTTGGTGGTGCATTTTGTGTTTTTGAACATGTTTTTGTTGCATTTTGTAATTTTTTTTTTTGCTAATTATTACAGGTACCATCAATTTATGCAGTGATATATATATATATATTTTGTACATTCGCATCAGTCCCTAACTTACATTCATACATACACTTACTAGAGACAATTTATCTACCAGCATGTCTTTGGAGTGTGGGAGGAAACCAGAGTACCCGGAGGAAACCCACACAGGCACAGGGAGAACATGCAAACTCCAGGCAGGTGGTGCCGTGGTTGAGATTCAAACCAACGACCCTAGTACTGCCAGGCGGAAGTGCTAACCATTTAGCCACTGTGCTGCCCTGTTCTGTTCTGTTCATGTAGTGCGACTTTGATGTGACTTTACACTTTTTGACACTCAAGTAGCATCAAAGTAACATCAAAGTTGCATCAAAGTAGTGCAGGAACCTTTATGTGACCAAAGTCGCATGTTAGTGTTACAGTTAAAGGTTAGGGTTATGATTATTATCTAGGGTTAGGGTTAAGAGCTAGGGTTAGAATTAAGAGCTAGGGTTAGGATTAAGAGCTAGGGTTAAGAGCTAGGGTTAGGGTTAAGAGCTAGGGTTAATAGTTAGGGTTAGGGTTAAGAGCTAGGGTTAGGGTTAAGAGCTAGGGTTAGGGTTAAGAGCTAGGGTTAATAGTTAGGGTTAGGATTAAGAGCTAGGGTTAGGTTTAAGAGCTAGGGTTAGGGTTAATAGTTAGGGTTAGGATTAAGAGCTAGGGTTAGGTTTAAGAGCTAGGGTTAGGGTTAATAGTTAGGGTTAGGGTTAAGAGCTAGGGTTAGGATTAAATGTTAGGTTTAGGGTTAAGAGCTAGGGTTAGGATTAAGAGCTAGGGTTAGGGTTAAGAGCTAGGGTTAATAGTTAGGGTTAGGGTTAAGAGCTAGGGTTAGGATTAAATGTTAGGTTTAGGGTTAAGAGCTAGGGTAGGAGCTAGGGTTAATAGTTATGGTTAGGGTTAAGAGCTAGGGTTAGGATTAAATGTTAGGTTTAGGGTTAGGGTTAAGAGCTAGGGTTAATAGTTATGGTTAGGGTTAAGAGCTAGGGTTAGGATTAAGAGCTAGGGTTAGGATTAAGAGCTAGGGTTAGGGTTAAGAGCTAGGGTTAGGGTTAAGAGCTAGGGTTAATAGTTAGGATTAGGGTTAAGAGCTAGGGTTAGGGTTAAGAGCTAGGGTTAATAGTTAGGGTTAGGATTAAGAGCTAGGGTTAGGATTAAGGGTTAGGGTTAAGAGCTAGGGTTAGGGTTAAGAGCTAGGGTTAGGGTTAGGGTTTTTAATCCTAACCCTAGCTCTTAATCTTTACCCTAACCCTAGCTCTTAACCCTAACCCTAATCCTAACTCTTAACCCTAGCTCTTAATCCTAACCCTAGCTCTTAACCCTAAACCTAACATTTAATCCTAACCCTAGCTCTCGACGTCTGACAGTTACACCTGCGATGACAGTTTTGTATATACTGTCATGACATCCTGGGGGGGGGCGGGGTTTCCAGTTTCCTTGTGACGTCATCACGTGCTGTGATTGGTCAAAGCATTGGTCAGGTGCATTGCTTTGACCAATCACAATGCACTGTCAGGGTGGAATGCATTGTGGAGCGTGGTGGGCGAACAGCCTGCCAAAAGCCCGTACCGTTCGTGTGTTTGGCGAACGTTCCAGTCGAGCTTATGTTCGACTCGAATATGAAGCCCACCCCTTGTAATCATTAGGGTAAGGATTAGCAGTAATTGTTAGGGTTAGCATTTCTACCCTAACAATTACCCCAACCCTAAATCTATCTCTAACCCTAGCCATTAACCCTAACTGTAGCCCTGGTAGTGGTAGTAAACTCTGTTTTAATACTTTTACCTACAGGTAAGCGTATAATAAATCTTACCTGTAGGTAAATTAGGAGATATTCGCTCTTTTAGAGATTCAGCGCATGCGCTCTGAAAGAATGGCATTCCCATACCCTTCCTTTAGAGAGCATTGTGCCATGGCACGCACGCAGGAATGACGTCATCGCGGCTCGGCCAGTCAGACGGCTGGAGCTCGTGCACCCGGAAGGAAGACTGGGTGAAGATGGAAGCCCTGTCAGCTTTGATAGCGTGATGCTGAAGGGCTTCGTTTTAAGGTAAGTACTTCATAATGTGCTAATATGTGATGCCTACTAGAACATTAGAACATTACATTGCAGGGGATTTTTTGTTTTGTTTTACCTGCAGTTTGCTACTGCTTTAACCACCTCCCGCCCGCCACATAGTAATATGACGGGCGCAAGGCGGTTCTCTCGCTCTAGGAGGACGCCATATGACGCCCTCC